AAGAAGACCTACCCTCCAGCTTGGTGCCAGGTCCTTGCGGACGGCACCGTGGACGCTGTCAACCGCGCGTATGCGCCATGCCACGCAGGGGAATGGCCAGAGGATATGCGAGAGGAGGAGGAGCAGCTCCGTGGGTTGCTTCGGGCTTCTACGTAGAATGGGGACTATGCCTCGGGACAGACGAGACCTGGGCTCCAGATTATGCTGATTGTTCCCGTCCAGGGCGGGTCCGCGCGGCATCCGAACGGCGCTGTTTTTGTGCCACCCTCGCCGTCGGAAGCAGAAGTTGCGTCTGAACCAGGGGCCGCTTTCGACCCTGAATCGACTCTAAGGTGCCCCGGCCCTATCGAGGCTACCGGCGAGCAAGAACACGTTGAAGTTTTAGCCTTTGTCGAAGTCGACGGCGTATCTCAGCCAGAGGACATAGAGCCTCCCTGCCCCTGCGCCCCCTCCCCCACGCGCGCCTCCTCCCCCTTCCGCGGCCAGTAGAGCTCACTGAGGATATTGGGCGGCGCATTGCAGCCGATCGAGCGCAGGCCAAGGGGCCTCGCAGGCTGCGCCGAGCCAAGCAGATCGCCCCTTGGACGTTGCAAGGAATGTTTGACCAAGTGCGAGACTAGCCAGCTTCGTGGGTCGCTCGGTCGGGCAGGTTACTTACGGGGCGGAGGGCAGTTCAGCAGCAGATGCGCGCAGCGGCCAGCCTCGCCCAGACCAGCGTCATTTCGACAAACCAGACATCTTTTTCGTGTCCATGGTCTTGGACCATTGGTTCAAGTTGTTTCCCACTTCTCGACTACATTATTTCCCTCTTCCTTTCGCTCCCATCGCCTTGCTCCCCCTCTTCCAGAGACGGATGCAGGGAGAGCTGGGGGCGACCAGCGGCGCGGCACAGCAGCAGAGCGCGCCCACGCGCGGCCGCCGCCCATCCACACCGTCCACGACGGGCACCCTCGGGGGAGAGTCGAGCGGCTGACGCTTCCAGTTCGAGCCCTTTGGATACACAAGTCGCCAAGTTTCGCTGTTCAGTTCAGAGCGCGTTTTGCGCTATCCCTCACCCCCCCGCCCGCCAGGTATTCCGTGCCTCCGCCCGTCAGGATGAGGAGCTGAGGTGCGGTTGCAGAGGGGTTGTCGAGACATTTTTTCTCTTCCCCGCGCACGCGTGCCGAACGTGTTCCTCTAACCCTTGTTGCGCGCATGCTTCATTTAATTGATTTGGCTACCAGGGCCGCGTCGCCAGCATCGGTCCAGGACCGCCCCGCGTTTCTGTGTCGTTGCCGCTGACCCGACCTGGCTGAACGTTTGTACAGCGCAGTTTCTGTTATCCTTTGTTGCCCGTGCTGAGTTTTCGAAGCCTGGCGTTTAGTGGTGTAGTTGCTAATTTGCTGGGTTGTCTCTGCAAATTGCGTGCGGATCTTTGCTGACAGGCTATATGCTTCAAACGCGTCGCAATCCAAAAATCCCCTCCTCCTCCTCCTTCTCCCTCCTCCTCCTCCTCCTCCTCCTCCTCCTCCTCCTCCTCCTCCTCCTCCTCCTCCTCCTCCCTCTCCCTCCAGCCACCCCCCCTCATTTTGGCGCACCCCTTCACGCGCTTCGTGGCGCCATAGGGAGTTCCACCGAAGGCCCCAGTGCCACCGTCCGTATGAGTCCCCTGCACCCATGACGGCACCACCCGTGCACGCTTCGTGGCCCCATCGGCAACTCCACCGAAGGCCCCGTGCCACCGTACACATGCGTCCGCCGCGCCCATTTCGGCACCACCCTCGCACGTGTCGTGATCCCATCGGGAATTCCACCGAAGGCTTCCGTGCCACCGTCCACGTGCGTCCCCACACCAATTTCGGCACGCACCTCACACGTTACGTTGCGTCATAGGGAGTTCCGCCGAAGGCACCAGTGCCACCGTCCACATGCGCCCCCCGCGCCCATTTCGGCACACCCCTCACACGTTCCGGGGCGCCATCGGGAGCTCCACCGAAGGTTTCCGTTCCACCGTCCACGTGCGCCCCCACACCCATGTTGGCACGCACCTCCCACGTTACGTGGCGCCATAGGGATTTCCACCGAAGGCACCTGTGCCACCGTCCACATGCGCCCCCCACACCCCTTTCGGCACACCCCGCACACGTTCCGTGGCGCCATAGAGAGCTCCACCGAAGGCCCCAGCGCCACCGTCCACATGCGTCCCCCACAATCATGTCGGCACCCCCGTTCACAGGTTTCGCGACCCCACAGGTAGCTACACAGAACGCCGCAATACCACCGTCCACATGCGTCCCCCGCACCCCTTTTCGGCACACCCTTTTCACACGTTCCGTGGCACCATAACGAGCTCCACCGAAGGCCCCATCGCCACCGTCCAGTTGCGCCCCCCACACCCATGTCAGCACCCCCTCTCACACGCTTCGTGACCCCACAGGGAGCTCCACCGAAGGCCCCAGTGCCACCGCCCGCATGCGCCCCCCCCCCCCCCCCCCCCCCCCCCCCCACACACACACACACACACACACACACACACACACACACACACACACACACACACACACACACACACACACACATGTCGGCACCACCCTGACATGCCTCGTGGCCCCATATGGAGCTTCACCGAAGAATCCGGTGCCATCGTCCACACGCGTCCGCCGCACCCATTCCGGCACACCCCTGACAGGGTCTGGGAATCCCATAAGGAGTGCCACCAAAGAAGAGATTCGAAATTGCGGTCCGCACGACTGCACGTGGTTGGGTTTTTTCGCCAGGCTAATTCGTAAGATTCCATATGTATTTGCTTATATTCCAAAGTGTCAAATATTTTGCGGCATGAGCTTTTCGGAGAAGGATGAGGTGGCCCAGCTGACGAGGTCGAGACGGCTGCAGTTCCCTTCGTCGGACGCTCGGCTCCAGAGTTCAAGTGGAAGCGGTTGTCCTTGGAACCACCTTGGAACCACCCGTCAATTTCAGCATGGGCTGCTGCACACAGGTTGTGTTCTCATCTTCGCTCGGAGCGCAACCGAGTGCCGTCTCCGCGTCCGCCTCTCGGAACAAGTTTCTTCGACAGTTCTTGGAGCGTGAACAGTGGCCACCTATCGTCCTTAGCTCGTTGGAGCCCGTTTCTTTATTGCTTGGGGCATGACGGGCGTCATGGCCCCCGCTCCCCCCCCCCCTATGACGTAACGCTCCCCCCCAGTGCGCTCCGGGCACTGCCGCCGTGCGCATTGGGATCCGCGTAGGTGTCCGCGTAGGAATCCGCATAGGTTTCTGGTGTGCAGGCGGCGTCGTCGTCGTCGTCGTCGTCGTCGTCGTCGTCCGTCGTCGTCGCTCGTGGTTCGTCGCTCGTCGCTCATCGTCGTCGTGCGCGCGGACGCGGCTGGAGCCTGTTTTAAAGTCCGGGCCGATGACGGCAATCATTTGGGGGGGGGGGTCGATGACGTCACGTTTCGCGCCGGCGGGAATGACGGAGGACGGGTAGCACGAACATGTAGGTGGCGATATGCACCACAACGCCTGTGTACATCATAGTGCCCGCGTGCACCACAGCGCCTGTGTACACCACACCGCCGATGTACACCACAGCAGCCGCGTGCAACACAGCGTCAGTTTGTGCCACCGTGCCTGCGGGCACAGCAGCTCCTGTGTACACCACAGCGCCTCCGTACACCACATCAGCCGTGCGCAACACAGCACCAGTGTATTGCAGTGCCTGTGTACGCCACGGCGCGTGTGTGCACCACATCAGTCGTGTGCAACACAGCACCATTGTTGTGTATAGAATTTCAAAAGGAATCCTTCTGACAAAATGGAGCGCGTGTGGATTCCAGAGAAAACAATGGAAAACAAATCCTCATGGACGAAGGAACGCCGCTGGAATCTACGAGTCCCCCCGAGTCCGCCCGCATCACCCTAACTCCCATTTGCGTCCAGGAGGCTCCAGCTAAACTGGCCGTCCGAGAACCAAGTGGACCGATTCAATCGACCATTCTGCGGTGCACGCTGAGATGCGCACGTGCGTTGCAACGCCAAGCCGCACGACAGGGGGTAAGAAGGAGGAAAAGGAGGAGGAGGAGGAGGTGGAGGAGGAGGAGGGAGGAGGGAAACACGTCGCATTCGATTATCAGAACTTTCCTGGCGTGGCGTTTAGTTGTCCGCAGCAGATCCTGACGTACATGCTTCTTCCACCTGTCCTATGCACGCAGGCACTGTGGTGTACACCAGCGCTGCGTTGCACGCGGATGCTGTGGTGTAGACAGGCGCTGTGGCGTGCACAGGCGCTGCGGTGCACGCAAGCACAGTGGTGTACACAGGCGTTGTGTTGCACATGGCTGCTGCGGTGTATGTACACCAGCGCTGTAATGCTCCCAAGTATTGTGGTATACGCGGGCGGTGCGTTACACACGGCTGTTGCGGTGTACGCAGGCGCTGTGGTGCACACGCGCGGTGTGGTGCACGCGAGCGTTGTGGTGCACACAGGCGCGATGGGCAGATTGCCACTTACATGCTGGTCGCGTCGTCGTCGTCGCTCGTCGCTCGTCGCTCGTCGCGTCGTGCGCGCGGGCGAGGCTGTGGTGCCGGAACCATACGGCGGGGGGGGGCGTCACGTCATACCCCGCCACGCCCCCCCCCCTCCCCATGACGCCCGTCATCGCCGAGCATAAAGAAACGCGCTCTTGGCATCTCTTTGCATGCACAGCGTCGCCGGCGGGAGCACGATGTGTTTCAACGCTCCATCCAAATACCAAGAGTTCGTGAGCCTTTGTGCGTCTCCTCCTCCTCCTACTCGTCGTTTTGTTTCTCCTCGTTGTGGAAGGTCTCAGGAGTCATGACGTCCCGGGATCTCGGATATCCCAGACGGAAACGGGGTACCGTCACCGTGGCAGGGCTGCGGATTGCGCCTCTGGGCAGATCTCATCCCCTTGTTTCTCCAGGAAGTTGGGGAGTGAAAGAAGGAAACGATTGTACCTCCGAGCAAATCTCAGAGCGAATCTTTTCAGCGCCTCTGCAACCAGGCACCTACGTCGCCAAGGACGGTGTCACAAGGTACGAAGGCAGCTCCGCATCCCGTCTGTTCCCTCGCGTTGATCACAGGATCTCTTAGCCACATCAGGTCGATTCCTCTCGCTCTCCAGCAGTTAGCTCTCCCGTCCTTCCATACCTAAGCTGGATGTGCGTTACAGCGGGGGCGCGCATCAATAAACCATCTGCTTTTCTTCAGGGTGTCCTGGGTTTCTTCGCTCCGCGCGCTGCGCGGTGACTTCCCGCAGTCGTTGGAGAAGCTGCTGCGTTCATGGTGCTCCAGGTTTCCCCTCAGGTGCACCTCGCGCGCGGTTTTTCAGGGTTGGGTTTCTTGCGAGGGTTTCTTGCGGCCGCGCCCGCACTGTACGATTCGACAGTCTGCTCGCACTGTGAACTGTTCCTCAAATTATCGAGTTGCCTTTGCGCCTGTCACTGCTGCCCATTATTGTATCCCCAGCGCTTCCCGCGTTATCCAGGTACCAGCGACACATTGACCATTGTGCAAGCGAATCACAGCGTGTGGTGATTCTTCTTGCAACGCCCAGAAGCTTGATACATGCGACACCTCTCGTCTCCATGTCTTGAGAAGCTCTCATAGGGTCTATTTGAGCCGTCTTGAGCCCGTCTTGGGGTCCTGGCAGGCTTGGGGTGTCCTGGGGGCCACCTTTGTCTCCAAAGGGGCCCTCTTGGTCTGTCTGGGGCCTTACTGGGCCGTCTTAGGGCTGAGTTGACCGCCTGGGGGGTCTAAGTCCGTCTCAGGGCCTTCTTGGTCTACTTAGGGGCTCTGTCAGCTCGTCCCGAGTCCCTCCAGAGAGCCCTCTCGGGCCAGCTTGGGGTTCTCTTGAGGCAGTCCTGCGGCGATTAGAGGCTCGCCTCAGTGGGCCCGCGTAGGTCCTCGAAGCCTCGAAGACTTTCAGCGGACCGATCTTCGACCGAAGGGCGTGGAAGCGAAGCACATTGGCAAACACAGGGCAATTGAAGTTTTCGGCCTCTCGGGGGCCCTCGTGGAAAGCGCCTTGGGAGTGCCTCGGCCGGGAGCCTCGAGGGATCTCTTCGGCGCTCCTTCATCAGGGGTTGTTGGGTGCCTTTTTGAGGCAACGCGGAACCATCCTCGCGGCGTTGGTGGCCTCCCTGCGCCGCCGTGGACGATGCGTGAAGCCACGGCCCCAGGGAAGGGTCTGGCCGCCCAGGGAGCAGGGCGGGCCGGTGCACCCAAAAGCGCGTGGCCAGAGGGGTGGCCTTCAGACGGTTGCAGAAGCTCGGAGCGAAGGACACGGCAGAGCCGGTCCGAGGCATCAGACGGTTGCAGAAGCTCGGAGCGAAGGACACGGTAGAGCCTGACCGAGATCGAGGTTGGTTCGGGTAGGGTACCCTGGTGGTCTTCGTGCCTGTTGGATGCTTACCCTTAGACGTTCTGTTCGTTTGGGCCAGCGGAGGGTCTCACGTTCTTGAGGGGTGCTCTTCTGGCCCGGGTCCGACTGTACCGCTACCCGCCTTCGCTTTCGCCTCCTCGGGGCCTCCTGGGAGGCCCCCGTCGCCACCGCTGGATTCGCCTCGAAATCCTGGTCAGAGCGCACCCTGGGAGAGTCGGGCCGGGCGAAAGGGGGGGATTGGGAAAGGGGGGGTTACGAAATTTGCTGCATGCAGCTGGTTTCGGCCTCACCGAGGGGCCCATTCCTCGATACATGGCCGCCTCCGGCGCCGGGAGGCGCCGGGAAAATCAGCTACGTGAGCTGATTCTCAAACCCCCCCTTTGCTATCCCCCCCTTTTGCCCGACCCGAGAGAGGTCCAGGGAACAGCGGTAACGGTACCTTTTGGTTCCCTCAAACCCTTCCAGGCAGCATTTTTGATTCTACAGGCTTACGCCACATCCGCCGACCCCTTCTGTGACTGTTGCGAGGCCAGGAGTTTCTGGCCAGCGGCGTCTTGTGTGAGGGTGCGGTGTCGCGCGCGGGTGGTGGCAGATACGTGGGGGGGTCCAAATGTTTGCGTGATGCCGGTGGTCTGGGGCGTGTTTTGCGAGCGCCTTGCGTGCTGTGCACCCGGGTGCGGGGTGTCTTTCTGGGAGGTCGGCCTTTCGACCCTCAACCAAGTGGAGGAGCACCGGAAGACGAAAGGAGCAAGAGTAGCGTGCGGAAGCTGTGATCAGCGAAACATCACCGCGAAAGATGTGGCAGATGAGTCGAAACGGGTGAAGAGGCTGTTGACGTTTGCAGCGCGCGCGAAACAGTTCGCGTAGCAGCAGCACATTAGCGCCGAGCAAGATTGTGAGCACGTCGCGAGGAAGAGCAAGGCTGCATGCGCGGAGTGCATTGCAGTTGGCTTGACGGCTCGCAATGCGGAAGCGTCTGGGGGTCTTTTGGAGGCCTCCTGGGAGCCTGTTGGGGACTGCTTGGGGCGTCTTGGCGGCCTCTTGGGGGCCTCTGGCGGCCTCTTGGGGCACTCTCGTGGGGGCGGAAGGCTAGATTTTTGAATTATTTGTTGTCCTCTTGGGCCCCTCTTGGTGCCTTCGTGGGCCGTCGACAGTGGCGGCGACAGACTCGACGGCGTAGGCTGGGCACCTTTTTGGGGCCATCTTGGGGGCGTCGTTGACCGTTGTGGGAGCCTCTGGCGCCGTCGTCGTGAGAATCCTCTCGGGGGCCTGCGGGAGGCAGTTTGGAGGCTTCTGGGGAGCTGTTTTGGGGCAGCTTGGGGCTTTTTTTGGGCTTGTTGGGGGCCTCTTGGGGGCTTCTTGGAGCCTCTTGGAGGCCTCTTGGGGCCTCCTTGGCGCCTTTTGGGGCGGAAGGCTAGAATTTTAGGTTCGTGGTCCCCGTCTGGAGCCTTTCTTGGGCCCCTCTGTGGGCCCTCTTGGACTGTCTGAAGGCCCTCTTGAGCCGTTTTGAGGCGCTCTTGGGCCGTGTTGGGGCCCACTTGGGAGCCTCTCGGGTCGTCTTGATGCCGTCTTGGGGGCTTCTTTCGCCGTCTTGGAGCGTCGGAAGCCCGAAAAAACGCGAAGGCCAAAAACGTTGAAAAAACCAATGGAAATCGACGATTTTGGCCTCTTGGGGCCATCTTGGGAGGCGTCTTGGAAGCTTCTTGGGGCGTCTTGGAGGCATCTGGGGCCATCTGGAGGCCATCTTGACCGTCTTCGAGTGTTTTTTCGGCGACTCGGGGCCCTCTTGGACCGTCTGCAGAGCTTCTTGGGAGCCTCTTCGCTCGTTTGCGGCCCCCCCAGCAGACTCTCTGGAGCGGATGACCCCCCCCGGACCGCGCCGGCGGATCCCGGGGAATCCGGCCGGACCCCCCCCCCCCCCCCTCCAAAACGACCGGACCAGGCTCCGGGGGGAGGGGTTTGGGGAGGGGGGAAGCATCTCACACGCCGATGACCCCAAGGGGTCGGCGGATTTGGCGTGGCATCGTGCCTCAGCGTGCCCGGTTTGCACGGTGGCGGCGGATCGGGCCGCTGAGGGGCGCCCTCTGCCGCCGTGGTTGGAGCTCGGCTCGGAGACGTCGAGACAGCGTCGGGGGATGAGGTGTGGCGCAGAAGTTGATGGCATTCTTGCAAGGGGCACAGGCTCCAAGTTCACTCCTCGGGTGCGTGGCCAGTGGCGCAGAGCCGGCGGTGAGCGGCGGTGATCTCTGGAATGTGTTGGAGGGTTTTGCTCGTGCCGCCCTGGGGAGGCCCTCGGCGGAGGTCGAGCCAACACTTCTCTCGAGGCACTTCACGCCCTTCAGCTCGCACGACACATCGACAGAACCAGTGCAGATCTTGGGAGCGGTTAAGGGGAAGACCACAATGAACCGAATTCGCGCCATTCGATGCGATCTTTTGGGGGGGGATCGCGTGATAACAACAGAAATCATTCCGCCTGGCAAGAAGGAAATGGGGGTGAAGAGCATGAACAGAATTGGAAGATGTGGGTATCCTTTGGAAATTTCAGGGCCCCCTGGGTGGCTGCTGAGACCGTCTGGGGCTGTCCTTGGGCATCTTTCCGGTATTTTGGGAACCTTTTGAAGGCCTTCCAGAGTTCTCTTCGGAGCTTGTGGCGCCTTACTTGGCTTTGTGAGTGTGTCTGTGTGCGTCTTAGGGTTGCTTCGGGGCCAGACCGCACGCTGGTTATCGCCGTCCACCAAAACACTTCAACCCAACCCGAAGGCCCCGATTTGCCTTGCATTTCCAGTGGGGAGGGGGTCGGGGAACGTTGAAAAAACACATATGAAGCCCGCACCCCCCCCAACCCGAAATTCTGGTCTTCGGGTTTGGTTGGGATGGAATGGTAGGTTGTCAGATTATGTTGGAGGGCTGGTTTGGGGGGCCGAGAAAAGCGCCAGTCCTTCGTAAAAGAGGAGCAGGTATCGTTCGGGAGAGCGGGAGCGTAGTTCCGAGTTGAGAGCGCGTCCAAAAATCAAGGGAGTATCAAACGGGAGGGATGGCTGTGTTGGAGGGCCAGTTTTCGGTGGCGACCAAGTGAGCGGCAGTCCTGAGCAAAACAATCAGGAGGTATCAAGCTGGAGTGTTGTTCTTCAGGTGCCAGTTTACCCCGAAATACTTGAGCCCGATCTTCTTTTTCAACGAAGCGTGGCCGGCGCCGGTGCGAGACCACCAGGTCGAATCGAGGGGGTCCAACAAGAATATCCAAGACGCCTACGGCGAATCACCGCCGCCCCTTGCCTTTTGGAATCGCCCATGTGGCCGAGCGTTGTGGTAAGAGCTCTCCCACGCTATCGGACCATGTGTTCCCCCAGCCGTTGCGGAAACCCTTCGGGGAACATTTGCGGGAGGATGGAGGGGAAGATCTGGAGGAGGAGGAGAGGCAGCAGGAGGAGAAGGAGGAAGAGGAGGAGGAGGGGGCATCTTGGGGGCCTCTGGGGGCACTTGTTGGGGCCTTCTAGGAGCTTCCTGGGAGCCTCTTGGAGGCATCTTGGGGCCTCTTTGGGCTTCTCGGGGGCCTTTGAAGACTTCTCGGAGGCCTCGTTGCCCGTCTTAGGGCGTTCCTGGCCCCCCTGACGCCGTCGAAAGCCGTCTTGGGGGCGTCTCTGGGTCGACTTGGGGCCCTCTTGGGGGGTGCTCCAGGGCCGTCTTGGAGGCCATCTGGGGCGTCTTGGAGGCATCCTGGGCCCTCTTAAGACCGTCTTGGGGGCCTCTTGGGCCGTGGTGGAGCCATCTTGGAGGCCTCGTGGGCGATCTTGGTTCAATTCTTGGGAGCTCTTGGGCCGTCTCGGGCCGTCAGAAGGCCGAAAAGAAACAACTTCTACTAACATACATCGAAGACCTACGGAGCATCAATGTTTTTGTTGCCTCCTCGGGCCTTCTGGAGGCGCTCATTGGGGCTTCTTGGGCCGTCTTGGAGGCCTCTTGGGGACGTCTTGGGCCGTCTTCCGTCGTCTTGAGGCCATCTCGGGCCGTCCTGGATGCTTCTTGGGCGAACTTGGAGGAATCTTGGACTCTCTTGGGCCGTCGTGGGGGCCATCTTGGACCATCATTGGCTGACTTGAGGACCATCTTGACCGTCTTGGATGCCATCTGAGGCCATCTTGAATTGCAGCCACTTCTGGGCAAGCCTTTCGGGTGGCCAGCGCGGCGCGCTGGGCCGAACGAAGCTTTAGGGGGAGTCCTTTTCGAAAGAGACTCCAAATCAAGTCGCATTGGATGCTGCACGCCAGGCACCCCTGTGGCAAGCCAACAGGGAGCGGCGGACAGAACGGCCTTCGGCTCATCCTGTCGCAGTGCCTGGATTGTGGGCCTTCTGGAGCTTGTGGTGAGCCTCCTTAGGGGTTGCTGGCGGTGGGGGAACAACCCAATCTCGGTTCGTGTTCCCATCGTTGCCCGTCATGGAGCGCTCTTTGGGGCCTCTTTGGCAGTTTTAGGGCGGTCTTCAGGGCCGTCTAAACCCGAGCACTGATATCCCTCAACAGCCTTTGGAACATCAGCGATTTTGGTGTCTCCGGCCCTCTTTGGAGGCCTCTTGCCGCCCTCCTGGGGCGTCTTGGGGGCCTCTTGGCCTGTCTGTGGGCCATCTTGGGCGTCTCGGAACGATCTTTGGCCGACTCTGGACCATCTTGAATCGTCTTGGGAGTCTCTTGTCCTCTTGGCCCAGCTGGGAGCCCTCTTGTCTTTCGAAACGTAACGCCAGCCACCCCAGGAGCGTCCCAGAGCGCCCAGAATGTTTGGGAATTGGGGCGCTCGGCCCTACCCTCTTATATCTGCAATGACCAATACATAGAATTCGAAGGGACATGAGGACTCTCCAACTCGTGCCTCAGGGCAATGTCGAGGTTCAAGGAAAAGTGCGCGTGCCGCGCACGACAGTCAAGACGCTTCACCAAGAACCACTTAGGTCCCAGGCGGGTCTCTGGGTTTCAGACCGCTCCTGAGATCCAGGTCGTGGAACCGATTCGTGGCCGAGGCTCGCCGTGGCCAGAAACATCTCATGATTTTCGACGGCGCGTCGAGTGGGGAGTGAGAGGTGGCGGACCGTCTCAAAAGGCTGTGGGACTTGTCGGAAGCCCTCCGCCTTCAGAGAAGCCCTCTGCGAGAAAGTATCTCAGAAGGCCAGGAGCGTTCCGAGGAAGCTTCTGGAAAGGTTGGCATGTTTGTCGGAAGGTTGGAGGCCTTCTGAGCCCTCGGTGAACGCCCGCCGCCCTGGGCGCGCCTCCAGATTCCGGATGGCTCGATCCGATTCGATTCCGTTGTTCTGACGACCCGATGACACCCGATGCGTGCGTGGCGTTGTTGTGCATCCTGGTTCTGCCGTTCCGAGTCGATTTCTGATCCGCGCCGATGCAGCCCGATCGGACGCAAATTCCGATCATGTTTGGCTCCCCGATTCGATGCTGCCTAATCGTGGGAGGAGGAGGAGGCGGAGCAGGATCAGGAGCAGGAACAGAGGGTTACGGTAGGTTCGTGTCGTGTCGACGCCGCGGCGACCCCGCCGCGGGCCTTCAAGATGTAACACCGCCAGTGCCCCAGAATCGGACAGTAGGGCACGGTCGGACGAGCGGGGAACCGCAGGTTTTTCCAACTTTGAACGAGCCGCGCTGTATCAGAAACCAACGCCAGGGTCTGCATGACACGAACCTGCCGTACGGCAGGTCCTTGCCGAGTCAACGCGTCGACGTTGCCAGCGCGGGCGGCATCAGGGGTGAGCGCCGGCTGCGGCAAGAGCATCGGCCGACAGCAGACAACTTGCGCTACCGGAAAGCCGCGATCGTTCAAGGTTGAACGATCCACGCTGTGTCATCAGAGACCATCGAGCAGAGCCCCGAATCATCAGGGCTGGGCATGGTCGAGGGTAGCTCCAAACCGGAATTGTCCCGGACCAGAGTTATCCTGGATAATTCGGGCGTACAACCATTCCTGAATCATTGGGTAGGGGGTGGTCAGGGGTAATTCTTGCTTCGTGCGTCGGGAGCCCAAACCGGAGTTACCCCAGACTGGACATATTCCGGATAATGTGGGTTTCCCACAAAACCAGCGTCGTCATTAGGGGAACCTGCCGCAGGAGGAGGAGGGGGAGGAGGAGGAGGAGGAGGAGGAGGAGGAGGAGGAGGAGGAGGAGGAAGAGGAGGAGGAGGAGGAGGAGGGGGGAAGAGTAGCCAGGGGAAACGCTAGAGGGGGGAAGTCGGAAGGGCTCAGGGGGAATCCATCGAGCCCCAATCGCCAGTCCATCGCTGACAGGGGTCTGATAGCCCACCGTTCCCAGGAACGTTCGGGCTTGCTATAGGACGCCAATCGCGCCCATCGCCGATCTATCGGCGATGTATCGCTGGTCCTCACCTGTCGTTGCCTTGCAGAGTTGCTGGAGGTGGAATCAGTTTGAGCTCTTGTCACACATGCGCACGCGTGCTCTGCAGGGTACCAGCGCCCCCGCGCGGGCAGGGACCCCTGGTGCAGAGGTCTGATCGGATGGAGTGCAGTGAAGCTTGGTCAACATATGGGGCGTTCCGGGAAGGGACTCGCCTTCGAGGATCGAAGGAGTTGCCATGTCTTCTTCGGCGGAAGGCGGCGGAAGGTCGGCGGAAGCTGGCAGAAGTAAAACGAGGGCGGCTCCGCCAGCGGAAATTGGCGGAAGGCCAGCGGAAGCCAGCAGAAGTAAAAGTCTACTTCCCAAGATCTATCAACAATCCTGGGTTAAGGGTTCCGAGAACCTGCCGCCATATGATGCCATACGACCCAGGGGGGTCGTCGGCATCAGTTTCTTCTCGGTGGCCAAATCGTCTTCCGATGCTTCGATTCTCGGCATTACCCGCTCTGGACAGTTAGTCTCTTCTGGAGGGAGGGAGGAGGGCCATAAGGGATTTGTGAAACTTTGCATGGCAGGTCAGTGGGCCTCTGGCAAGCGCCACGGCTACGGCAAGCTGGTTTACTCAGGCGAAGCGCGCTCCGGCGTACATTTGTAGGGGGGCGAGGTGGGAGGAGAGAAAGCGAGGGGATGGAGACGGACGGGGGGAGGGAGTCAGGCAGTGAGTTGAATCGTTGGGTTCGTTGCCACACCATACCAATCACACCCTTTCCTTTGTACTCTCCGTCTGGCTTCAGTTTCAACCCTCCTCCTCGCTAGAAAGAAAGGGCCGAGCTCAACTCAGGCAGGGACGGAGTGGGAGGCGGAGGGGGGCGATCGTAGCAACTCCCATGTCGTTCATCTGTCACGGCGCTCGCCATTCATCACATCACCCGTGGGCGCAGACCGGGAGTGGAGGGGAGGGAGGAGGAGGAGGAGGAGGAGGAGGAGGAGGAGGAGGAGGAGGAGGACGACGAGGAGGAGGAGGAGGGGGGAAGGGATGGGAGGGGAAAGGAGGGGAGGACGGAGAAGGGGAGGAGGGATGGAGGGGTGGGATGGGAGGGGCAGGGTGGGGGGGGGCAGAGAGGGGAGGAGACGGAGAAAAGGAGGGAGAGGAGAGTGGTGGAGGGAGAACGGGCACAGGGGGGAGGAAGGGGAGGCGGCTTCCCAGGGAGGGGAACACAAAGGTGAGGCGCGGGAAGGAGAGGGGGGCAGGAGAGGAGAGAGGCACAGGAAGAGGAACGGGGCGGGAGCAGGAGTGGAAGGAACGGGGGGGGGGGGCCAGCGGAGCTCGAAGGGGGGGCGGGGGACGCCTGAGGCCTCGGGCCCCCGACCTGGACCGTGGAGTCGGCCCACCGTCCCTCCGCCGACGGGGTGCGGGAGCCACTGCATGACCCGACAGGCCTGGTTTGGATCACCGACCCTGCCTCGACGCTGGACGCGGGGCCTCGGCTCAAGCCAGCCAGCTGTGAAGGCCTCGCCGCCGCGCACACGTCGAGGGAGCCTGTGCAGAGGTACTGCGTGACCGGCGGGGGTCGGGACCTGGCCGTGGCTGACCCCAGGGTGGCGCTGATCCGCGACCATTGCCCGATCGTACCCTTCTTCAAGCGGCGAAAACTCAGTTGGCACCTGGCACGAGGGGCAAGAACAATCCCGATTTTGGAGGACGCACGCCTCCAAGGAGGACACAAAGTACGAGGCGGTCATTCTACATCCCATAACCGACACACGTCTTTAGTTCTGGTGCCGCCCTTTCCTCCCTCTCGGCGGTGAATCGGACTGGTCCTCCCTCTCCTCCTCCTCCTCCTCCTCCTCCTCCTCCTCCTCCTCCTCCTCCTCCTCCTCCTCCTCCTCCTTTTTCTTTTCCTCCTCCTCCTTTTTCTCCTCCTCCTCCTCCTCCTCCTCCGCGTCCTCCTAGTCGCAATCGTAATCGTAGCTGTCGTCGTCGTTGCTGCGCGGCGGGTGCCGCGGAAGCAGATAGTCAGTTACCTCCCATCGGTGGGACCCCAGTCCTCCAATCAGGCCGCCGAAAAAAAAAGTCACCCCCTATTCCTTGGGGTTCAAAAGACCTTTCAGGGTCATCGTTGCCCCTCGGCGCAGCAGCGTGTGACAGCCGCGCGGGCGCTCTTCTCTTCACACGCGCGCGTGCGCCCCCTGCAGGGTGTGCCTGCGCCCCCTCGCGCGCTCCGAGGCCCCTGTGTGAAGAGGTCGAACCGAAGGGAGTTCCGCGAAGCAGAGGCGTCGGGGGTTGCTGGAGGTGCCAGTGGCCCAGGGTGCCCCCAAGCTTTCTGCTCCATGCTGGAGCCCCATGGGGCCCTCCGGGCCTCGTGAGGGGTGCTCTGGAGGCCGTGGGGGCCTCCTCGGAGATCCTGGGGGCGCCTTGGGCCAGGGGCACGTCTGGCAACGCCCGAAGAGGGGGTGGGGGAGGGGGGAAGGCTTCCTAGAAGCAAGGGCTCCCTCGAGGGCGCGAAGTTATTCGCGCTTCGCGCTTCGCGGTCCTCGTTCCTTCTCCTTCTCCTCCTCGTCCTCCTATTCTCCCTTTGGGGGGGCGGCGCGAGGGCGCGAAGTTATTCGCGCTTCGCGGAGCGCGAAGCGCGAAGTTGGGAGCCCTTGTAGAAGTGCCCGGCTTCTGTCGAAGAAGCAGCATTTGCACAAACATGGACTTCCAGAGCTCCGCGCGGGCGTCTTGGATCTGCGCTGGAGCCCCCTGGTGGCGCCTCCAGCGCCGCCCCTGGCGCGCTCCATGCGCCAGGGAGGGGGTTCAGCGCAGATCCGAGACATCCGCGCGGACCGTCAAACGTTTGCGTGTATAAGATCGAGTCTGCAGCGCGTGCTCTTCTCTTCTTAGCAGGCGCGGGCCTCGCCTGCAGGTGCAAGGCCCGCGCCCTCCAAGGAGCAGCCTCATTCTGAGAAGCCTTCCCCCCTCCCCCCTGCCGCCAAGCCCCCGTCGTCGGCCCCTCCCCGCCTTCCCCCCTTCCCCCTCCCCCCTGCCGCCCCCTGCCGCCAAGCCCCCGTCGTCGTCCCCCCTGCCGCCAAGCCCCCGCCTTCCCCCCTCCCCCCGTGCCGCCCTGTGCGTGCCGCCAAGCCCCCGTCGTCGGCCCCTCCCCGCCCGGGGCCGAGCGCAGCGTGCGCCCCGAGGCGACCTCGGGCCCTCGCGGCCGGGCTCGGCGGAGGGGAGCAACATTTTTTGGCAAATGCAGCCCCTCGCGCTGTGACGAGGTGGAGTAAGGCAGGCCCAGCGTACGGTCCACACACCACCCACACAAACGCGCGCACACACACACACAGACACACAGACACACACACACACAGACACACACACACACAGACACACACACACACAGACACACACAGACACACACAGACACAGACACAGACACAGACACAGACACAAACACAGACACAGACACAGACACAGACACAGACACAGACACAGACACAGGCACAGACACAGGCACAGACACAGGCACAGGCACAGGCACAGGCACAGGCACAGGCACAGACACAGACACAGACACAGACACAGACACAGACACAGACAGGCACAGACACAGACACAGACACAGACACAGACACAGACACAGACACAGACACAGACACAGACACAGACACAGACACAGACACAGACACACACACACACACACACACACACGCACGCACGCACGCACGCACGCACGCACGCACGCACGCACACACGCACACATCTTCGGTTGCGTGCGTGGGATAGGTGGGAACCCGCTGAAGCAGGCCACCGCTGAAGGAGAAAGAGGAGGCGGAGCCCTCTCCTCACCCTCCTCCTTCACGCTCCTCCTCGTGCGTCCCTCGCCCCCTTTCCTCCCACCTTTTCTCTACTGCGCCCCCCCTCCAGGGCGCAGTGCCGAGCTGGCTTTTACTTGTGTCCACTCGACAGCCCCCCCCACCCCTGCGCAAGCCGACGGCACCTCCTTCTACGACGGCCAGTGGGCCGGCGGCAAGAAGCACGGCCGCGGGAAGCAGGCTCCCGCTCTCGCCCCGGGGTGTGGGGTGCAGAGCGGCTCACGATTCGCTCGGGGGCGGCAAAGAGGGGGGTGATGACTGGGGGGGTGGACATCATGGCCCTGTGCTTCTGCTCGTCCTCCTCCTTCTCCTCCCTTTCTCCCCTCCCTCCTGCCTCTGCGTTCTCGCCCTCCGGCGTCCACCCTCTTCTCCGTCCTTCCCCCCTCCTCCGTCATGTCCTTCCTCAGGTGTCTCCCCCCCTTCTGTTACTAGCCTGCGTGCGCGTGCGCTTTATGCCCGTATAGTCGGTCTGCCCTTCCCAGTCTAGGCTGCCCGCCGCCCCCTTCATTCGGCGTCTTCCTTCCTCCCTCCCTGTCCCTCCCTGTCTCCTCGTGAAGTGATCCTCCTCCCCCCTCCTCCGCCACCTGCCTCCATCATCGTCCATCACCCTCCACTCACTCCCCTCCTTCTCTTGCGCCTCTTTCCTCCGTCCTCGCGCATCCTCCCCTCGTGCACCTGCTGTTCCTAAGCGTGCATGCAGCAGGGCGCCCGTCATATAAACACGATGCTGCTCTTCCTCCTCTGCTTCGCCCTCAGTTGCGCCAGGGCTTGAGCGCCATGTCCGTTCCGCTCTCTCTCTCTCTCTTTTTTGTTCTCTCTCTCTCTCTCTCTTTTCTCGGGCGCCTCCTTCCCAGAGTTTCTGCAAAGCTCCGGCAGCTTGCTGCGCAGCTCTCCACGTCTCTGACAAGACTTGCAGCAGAAGGGGGGCAGGGAAGAGGAGGAGGAGGAGGAGGAGAAGGAGGAGCCTCTTCCTTCCTCCGAGGAGGCGGAGGGAGGCGGAGGAAGGAGAGAGAAGGGGGAGGGGAGAGGAGGAGAAGAGAGAGAGAGAGAGACAGAGAAAGAGAGAGAGAAAGAGAGATGAGGAGGAGAGAGGATTTTCTAACTCAGCACCGTGCCCTGGAGGTGCCACCAGGGAAAAAGGCAGATTGTCTGGCAGAGAAGGACCTGGGCGGTGGCCGACGCTGTGGACGGCAACCCTAGGACCCGTCAGTCGGAGTCACTAGACCCCGAAGACCTTACGCGAGCAGCCGCCTGCACCAGCGGAGCCTCAACTTCCTCGGGAAGGAGACGCTCCCGAACTGCTTGCAGCTGCCCGCGCTGGCTCCTTTCCAACTCATTGGCGGGAGAGGGCCTGGCAGGAGGGTCGAGGAGAAACCGAGCGGCCTCCTCCTCTCCTTCAAAAGGGTCAGAAAAAAAAACAGCACTCCTCCCCCCCCAAGACGGACCCCGACGAAGACACATCTGGCCTCGGGACCTGGGGAGAGGAACTCAGAGCAGGAAGCGGATCTGGCACAGCCATCGAATCAGGACGGTCCACCCCGCCCCTCGAGAACGACGGCTCGACGACAGGCTGACACTGTTGGCCTTCCGCATCCTGTTCAAAATCATATGGATTAAAAACTGGACAAGTGACTCCTGAGAGTTTGGGGTGGAGAGGAGAAGAGGGGAAGAAGAGAGTGTTGGAGCAGGATTCCCTGGCAGCCTTTGGCGGCAACGGCCCACCCGTCGGCGGAAGGACCGCTCTGGACCGACCCAGGGCGACCCTTCTCGGTCGCAGCACGAAGCCCAGCGAGCCCCGAGCCGCGTTTTGCGCCGTGGCGGGAGCCAGCGGCACGGGCACCGCCGCAGTCACAGGGGCGGGCGTTTGGGGATCGTTCCTTCTCCTGTTTTCCTGTTCCTCCTCCTCCCTCCTCCCTTCTCCCTGCTTCCTCCTCCTCCTCCTCCTTTTCCTTCTCTTGTCCCTCCTTTTGCAGCGCGCCGCTGGGAGCATCGCCCTTTCGGTGGTGGCGGCCGCTTTGTGGGAGGAGGGGGGAAGTGGGGCAGTGTGGGGATGCAGGTTGTTGGCAGTCAAGTTGTTGGCAGTTTTTTTTTGTTTTTTTTTTCTTCCTTTTTTATATAAAAAAACTGCAAATGGTGACAGCAGTGGCTGAGGTAGTTTCTCGCCACTCTGTGGCTCATCAGCCGGATCCACCCTCCTCCCTCCCTCCTTCCTCCTGCTCCTCCTCCCCCTCCATCTGTCTCGAGGCGATTTTGGCCACTGACAGTGAACGGATACCGATGATCCGCAAGCAGCACCCAGTCTTTCTTCAGCAGCTGGTCCGCCCCAGTTGCTAACAACCTGACGCGCCCGTGGGTGAGCATATCTGCTTTCGCACACGTGTGGTGGCCTTCCTGCCTTCTTCGGAACCACGTCGTGGCCACCATGTCAGGGGCAGCGTGTGCATCGTGCGGGCGCAAGAAGAATATGCCTCTGTTCGCCCTGTGCAAGGCGTGCTACAACCGTTGCTTCTGTCTTGCGTCCTCGGCGTGCTCCCCGCCCTCGTGGGGAATGGACAGTCCACGGCAAGTCCTCATTCGATGCCGGCGACAGCGCCAAGCCTCCGCGCCAACTTAGGGTTCGTTCAAGGGGCGCGCACTGGGGCGAATCTTCCAGTCCTTCGAGTCCGCATGTGTTTCCGTCAAAAAGGGATGTACAATTCGATACCCCGGTGCATTGGCCAATTGCTCCAAAGGGGCGGACATTCATGGGGCGGCTGGGATTATGGCGGCTTGCGCGGCTTCGGACGAGCATGCCAAGAAAACTAATAATCTCACCAACCAGGACGCTGCAGCTCCATCCAAGGAAGCCCAGGAATAGTTCAATGCCAAGAGCAAGGAGTGAGACCAGCTGGCTAGCAGGATTGTCTACCACAAGAAGCGGGGCGAGGAGCTGACCATCAAGCGGTCCTACTTCGGCGCGGCAATCAAGAAGGCTCGCGTACGTTACCGTGGCCTTCCATCCCAGGTCGTGCCCATCTCAGCAGCGGATTTCCAGTCTCCTGCTTCAAATTACGGGGGACACCTCTGCGACGCTGGACTGACTGCTCGAGGATGCGGCCTCATCTGTCTCGGCCGCCAACCTTGACGAGCTCAGGGTACGATTGGGGGCGACGCAGCAGGCAGCGGCGACTGGCATCGCATCGGCGTGGGAGGCGACTGCGAACAGGGCTGCTGGAGTTTTTGTGTTTGCTGGCGCGTCGGATCTGTCCCCCCACCACCACTTGCGACGACGACATGCTCAAATGAAGGGTGCGCTGATCACGTTTCTGAGGCGGCTCAGCTCAGTATTGCCATCAGTCTGGAGGCTGCAACCAAGATGTCCCGACCGCGGTGATCTCGGTTCTTTCCAGCCTCCCATTTTGGTGGATACTTCCATTCAGGCGGGTGCTGATACTTCCATGCGGTTTTCTGGTGGTGCGCGCGCCGTCAGTCAGTCGCCCGTGGGCATTGGCGCAGGCTCTCCTTGTCCTACGCGCACCGGTGGCGAAGCTGACTGCCGTGGGGCAAATTCGTCTACGGCCTTGTTTTCTGGTACAGGGTGTTCCGGGTATCCCACATTTGAATTGTTTTTTGGTGGCGTTGCGATCGCCACGCGCGAACAGAGCCTGGCGGCGTGCATGGCCGGGCGGGTCTGGAAGCTGGTCCGGGGGCGCTGATTGGTCTTTAGGGTCTGCGGCGGTGTAGAGACAGCTATAGAGACAGCCAGACGGTGTTCATGGTCTCGTAGCTCTGGCACTCTTCACTGAGGCCTGAGCTGCTCGTTGCCATGGCGAGAGCACCATCGCGTCGCCCTCGGCCTCCGCGGGCCCGTCGGTTGGGCGCGGTGCTTCCTCGTCGCTGTCGGCGTCGTTCGCCGCCGCGCACCCGCGGGAGTGGGAGGCGCGAGCCCGCCCAGTCTATCACTGTCAACTCAGCGTCGCCAGCTGCAGGTAGCCCATTGCCCCCATCCCCTCGGGTGAGACCAGCAGCGAGATCGGCTTCGCTTAGGGCGCGTTCGAGCAGGGAGGGAGTGGCGCGAATGCGGTTTACGTCGGCGAACGTCCACGTCGTTTTGGTTCTGGATCGCAAATTGCTTGCTTCGGAGCTGAACCAGGCCGGCGCCTGCTGTTTACGTCATCGGCGACAAAGTTGGCGGAGGCCCATTGGAAACGGCCGCGGAGGTGGTGCGTCTGATGGTGTGGCCATATGCGCGTTGTGCCGGCGATTTCCAACGTGGTTCCTGAGGCCCTTCATGAGCACGTCGCCTCCGGGTTTTCGAGGGGCAATCTCGCGCCCCCCCCCCTCCCAGGTAGGGCGCCGCGCACGGCCCCAATCCTTGCGATTTCTTTTTGGTCTCGGATGATCTGAGCAAGGCCGTCGGCGACGTCGCGTTGATTGTGGAAGCTGCTGCCCCGCCCCGCCTGCCCGCAAAGTTCAAGCGTCGCTAGTCGCCCAGCACCCTCCTAGCGCCCGCGCGCGCTCCGCTTCGTCAAGCCGCCGAAGTTGCCTGTTGACCTTGCAGCGGGGACCTCGGTGGAGCTTTCCTGCTGGGGCGCTATCCAGGACATCCTGAGCCGCGCTTCGGAGTTGGCTGATCTGGGTGGCCTGGGGGGTGCGTTGCGCGGCTGGGGTCGCGCATTTGAGATGTCGGCTGACTTGAGCGCGGTCGACCGTCGCGCCGTCGCCCAGTCGTCGTCGCCCGCTTTCGGCGCGGGGGGCCGCGGGCCCAGATGCGAGTGCCACCGCCCGCTCGCAATCCGCCCCAAGTGGCGCCGCCGTCGGCGCTGCGCGCAGCCCTTTGTTTCGCGGCCCAGGTGATGGCGCTGGTCGGCCACCCGTCCGCGGGGGGCCCTGCCGAGCCTCCCGCTGACCTATCCCTCGCTGCGCAGGCGCGCGGGCCACTTTCGAGCACCCCAGGCCGGCATGGGCTCTCGAGATCGCGATCGCGCGCAGGCTGGGGCGCGCAGCTCCTGGGGTGAATTCGAGGCTGGAGGGCCTGAGGGCCTGGCCCAGCAACTCGAGGATTTCGAGGGGCCTCCAGGAGGGGCCACGGCGCTGCCCGAGAGGGGCCCAGGGATCCCTGGGGACATTGGGCATCGCACGGTTTTTACGAGGGGGGCGACGAGGCCCGCGGCTTCACCGAGGGCCCCCGAAGCGTTTAA